TTCACGGACTTAGAATTAATAACCTGAGAGTAACTGGTGTTTGTCAGCAGATGAAGTATAAATGTCACAAACTGCTAGCTAGAGAGGGGCTCACTTGTTACTTGCGTGTGCTCTAGGAGGCTTCCTAGCCTGGGATATGCTAGGGGACAGACTGAGGGGCTATATGGCCTTTTCTCTGCCTTGACCAGGGGTGTGCTTTTTATAACATCTACCTCTGTTTGCTGACTCCCTCTGATACCTTCAATGACACTCTGTTCCCTTTTGGGACATTCTCTTAAGAAAGTGTGAATGTTCTTTATATTACACTCCATCTTCCTCTCACCTTCAGGACCCCTTTCCCTGGAACGGGGTAGAAATTCCCTTTCCCTGAAGAGCTTAGTTAGACATTGCTGGAGTGACTTCTTACCTGCCTTTACCCCCATTCCAGACAGCCCTCCAATGGATGCTGAAGGAAGCTGGCCCCTTGAACATTCACCAGCCCCCCCGCCTCCTGACCTCTGCCCCTGGCCAGGACTTTGCATGGAATTATCTTTCTCCTCGCTTACTTCCTCTTTTTTTTTTTTTAAATAAAAGATTGTATTTATTTACTTGAGAGAGAGAACAAGAGAGAGCATGCAGGTGGGTGGGGGAGGTGAGGGGCAGAAGGAGCGGCGGGGAGCAGACTCCTTGCCGAGCAGGGAGCTCATGGGGCTCAATCCCAGGACCCAGGATCAGGACCTGAGCCGAAGGCAGACACTTAACCGACTGAGCCACCCAGGTGCTCCACTTCCTCTTTATTTATATTTGACTATTTGATAAGATGTTTGCAAAAGGCCTCAGAAGAGTTAAATCATGTAGTAATGAAATAATACTTCATGATTCCCATTGACGGGGACCGCAGATCTGGCTATTTCTTTTAAGGGCACCACCGCCTTCCCACCAACCTTGAAATCCTGAAATCTCAGAGTGGTGTTCATCTCCTCCTGTTCCCTTTCTCTGACATCTGATGGGGTGCCAAGCCTTGCAAATTCTTAACTTGTTTTCCCCCTGGGACTTCAACCTTAGGTTCAGCCCCAATCCGTCTTAGGCTTGTGTAATTGTAGTGACTTTCTTCTTTCCCTTTCGCTTACTACTGCTGTGCCTTTGGATAAGTGCCTAGTGCCTTGTGCGTCAAATGGGGCTGGGAAGAGTGATACACGGGATACCATATAGAGAATGCTTAGACCAGTACATAGTACACAGTAGGAGCAACACAAGTGTTAGCTACGAATATTCGTGTTACTGGTCCCTCCACCTTTGCCAGATGTTCCATTCCCAAACACTCCTCTGACCAGGCCCCACCCCTGCTCCCTGTCTGCAGTCTCCCCATGGTCTAGGTAGCAGCATTTCCTAAAGTGAGCATGTGAGATGAATTGCCAGGGTGTGGGAAGAACAAAGTATGATTTCTTTTATGTATTTTTATTTCATTCTTTTAAATTTTCTCCTTTGAGTATATTTTACACCGTATATTTTTAAATAAGGATATATTTATAATTGATATATGTATATAATGTAAGTGTATATTTTAATAAATAGATGAACGTATATGTACACGTGTATACAGGTGTATATGTGTGTATACATATATACGGTATGTCAAAAAATATTTTACTAACAGGGGAGTACAAGCCAGCAAGTTTGGACTGGTCTGGAAGGTGGGATCCAGACCCTGAGCCTGGCATTTCCCTGTGGTGACCCCAGCCCGCAGTCCTGACTCTCCTTGCAGTCCCTCTTCCTCGTGACCCTCACTCTCTCTCCACCTGCCCCACCTTGTGCCATTTGGTTCTGTCATTGTTCGTCCCCTCTCCCCACTCCTAGAATATTCTCCCTCATTCTCCCATTTTCTTTTCCTGTCTAGAAGTTCACTTTCAATGTCACTTGTTCCATCAAGCCTGCCAGGACAATTCTGGCCTGAAATCCTCCACGTTCTTTAGGCATTCTTTGTCAGTGCTACTTACTTGGCCCCTGTTGTGTTCTGTGTTGTGTTGGGATCTTTTGCCGCCTATACTTAACGTCTTGGCTCCATAGTGATTTTATGTCAATTTGCACATGGGCATGCCTTGAAATGATATTTTATTTGCTGACTTTATTTTGTGCTGTTGGTCCTTTTTCTCATTTATCTGAAGACACATACCTATACTTTTTGGATGACATTAAGGTATGTATCTTTTGTCACAGTAATATATAATTCTTGACTATAAGGAAAAAATTCATCTGTTATATTCGTGCTCTGAATCTCCTTGGATTTGAAAGCATCCTTCTGCTTGAGACATATTTTTGTCTACAGTGCATTAGTGAACATTTTTTGTATGTGGATTCATTGTTTTCTTTTTACTCCAGGTGTGTGGATTCATTGTTTTCTTTTTACTCCAGGTGACCTAAAATCATCATCCTTGTGTTAAATGTCTTTATTTCAGCACTTATAGTCCTGAGTTGTGCAAGGCATCCTGGGAAGAGCGGGTACGCAGAACCTACCCACTTGATCTGAACTTTCCCCCTCCTCAGACACTGTAAGAATTGACAGCAGCTGGGCAGTCAGTGGAGCTACCAATGGTCTTGGAGTCAGAAAACACAGGTTTTAATCTTGATTCTACCACCTACTGATTGTTTGGTCTTGACCAAGTCATTTAACCTCATCTGTGGAATAAGTTTAGTAATCTCTACTATGTAGAACTATTTTGAGGATTAATTGAGATAGTGGCTCGGAATGTGCTGGGCACCTAGGAAGTGGTCATTAAGTGTCTGTTTAAAAGGAAAAATAAGAATCTCCTTTGTCTTCTGTGAGCCTTCTGATGCAGGGTCTATTCTGGGGAGAAACAGATAGCTTCAGAGAATGCACCTACCCGACTGAGCAAACTTGAGCTGGAGAGTGAAGGCTGGACATCCAGTCAGCCTGGTTTTTGGGCTTGTCTCTAATAGAATGTCTGTGGCCTCCTCAGGGAATATGCGAATTAATTAGTTAATCTCTGTAAAGTGCTTTGAAGGTGCAAAGTGCTATGTAAGTAGCATGGTTGGATTGCTGTTGGAGATGCAATAATGGCGGCATCGTATCCTGGCAGTCTTGCTTGCTTTGGGCATCAATAATCAATAGGAGAGAAGATTCTAAGATGTCTTACTTGATAAGGAAGGATTCATTGTGGGATTTGTGATAACATAGTTCTTTGATAGTCTTGCAGATAGCAACTTGCCAGTTCTTTCCAGCAGAAGAATGTAGGGTAAGTTAAGAAGTAACAGTCTCATCCTCTAGCTTCTTCGGACTCTCCTTTCTAGGGTAGTCTGGTTATATATCCTACCGAGCTCGAGTAGAGGGACAATTTGCTGGTTTTGGATGCTTTGTGGGTCCTGGGCACATGGACTTTTTTGTGGGTCCTACAGAAGTGAGGGAAGAGTGTTGAGTGTTGAGTGTTGCTTATCATTGATGCAGACCCTGTGTGAATAACCAACACAGAGTGGTACCATGGGCTTGAAGAAGGAGATGTGGCTTAGCTGTGTGACCCTGGGCTGGTCACTTCCCTGAACCTTAACTTTTCACCTGTTAAATGGGAACATAGTAGTTGATGAGTATAGTAATAAAGGTGGCCCACAGGAGGGTGCGTTTGATCCTTTCTGTGAGGGATTCAGGGGTCAGAAAAGGTTTCACAGAGCTGGTGGTACGTGAGCTGGACTCTACAGGTAGAGCCGTAGTTTATCAAACGACTAATGTAAGGAAGGGGCATCCACGGCAACAGGAACAACACATGTGAGGCCACGAAATAGCACATCTGAGTGGACCCACTCCCAGTTCCTGTCGCATACTTGATACCCCACGGGCTACACAGACTTTCTTCCCTCTATGAGGAAGCTCAGAACTTCTTGTGGACTCCTTGGTATTTCCGTGGTGTCTGTGAGCAGATTGATTCTCTGAACTGCATCCCTTCAGTATGCCGACATTTCCCCCATGAGTCTGTGGTTGTATTGTAGCTGACGCTGCAAACCGTATGTTGAATATGGGGCCAGATGAAGCTTTGATACTAAACACAGTAGTATCATAGTAGTAGGTTTGTCTAGTGTTTAATATGCATTGCTTGGTGTTTTGTCTCTTAAGCGAAGTTTTTCTTTGTTAAAATAAACATGTATAAAGAATTTATACAGCGCACATGGTTATGCATATTTATTGCAGAGAATCTGTTAATAATCTATGCCTCATCGGATTTTGCATTTCTGTTGAAATAACAAATGTGGCACTTGGTACAACTGAACGAGTTTGGTGAATTTTTTCTTATCTGGGAGAAGAAAGGCATTTCTCTTTTTTCAAACTCCCATTTTCTTCAATCATCTTCTGCACTGGCCAGCTTCCCAGGTGGTGCGTCTGGGGGACTGAGGCTTTCCTGGCTGTAAATGATTTTGTCTTTTTTCCCTTCTCTCACTCCCTTCCTTCCAGCTCACATAGACACTTGCCTTGGGACTATGAGAATTGCTTCTTTGGGTAAGAGCATAGAGTCTGAAGGTCCTCTTACGTGGAGAGAAAACACATGAAACTGGCCATTAATTGTGCTAGGAGGAAGGTGCTAAGAGATTGTGGCATGGGGCAAGGCAGGAGCCTCGGGGACTTCAAGGTGGCTGACGGCCTGAGAACAGACGTCTGGGCAAAGCTCAAGGAGGGGTGGGGAGGCCATAAGGTGTGGTCAGAGAGTTCCCTGTCACCTTGTCCCTGTCTGTTAAAATACAGGCGCACAGGCTTTGGAATCTGCCTCCGCTGGAATCCAGCTCTGGCGCTCACTGTTGTTTGATCTTGGTCACGCCATTTCTCCCCTCCGAACCTCAGGCCCCATGTCTGTGAAAGTGTGAATGGTTGTGCTCTCCCTACAGGAAGAAAGGATGGCTCCTGTTACGTGGTAGCTGATACTAAAATAAATGTTCACACTTCCTCTTATAATTCATTGCCTGCCCATGAGAGCAGAGCTGTGGAATGTAACCTTAATTCAACTAATGTTTGTTTTTAGAAACTGGCAAGGTGTTTACCTGGGGCCGAGCAGACTATGGTCAACTAGGGAGGAAATTGGAGTCTCGTGAAGACTGGAAACTACAAAATCAGGATCCATCACACCCCTGCTCAGGACCTCCGAAGAGCATGCCTTCCTTTCTGCCTTGCTTAACAGGAGCAGTTGAGGTAGGAAGTGACTTTCCATAGAAGTGATGCATCTCTTTTCCTTGTCTTGCTTTGAAGCGTTGACTGCGGGCCTACTGTGTGCTCCTAGTGGAGAACATTGTGGTGGGTCCATGCAGGACTCTGAAGGGGTCCTTGCCTCAAGTTGCTTGGGGTTCAATATGGTAGAAAAGGAAGATACCCGGATAACTGTACTGCAAGGCAGACTGGGTGTAGCTCCTTTAGAGAGTTTGCAAGTACGCCGGGTCTGCTTCAAAGAGTGAGAGATGGATTCAGGCTCTGGGGATTGGGTTAGGCCGGTGTCATGGAGGACATGGCTTTGAGCTGTGCCTTGGAGGATGGGATGGACTTGAGCAAGCAGCTGTAAGAGAGAAGAGGACTTTCAGGTAGGCACAATAGCTGGAACAGGGTTACGGGGGTAGGAAAGTGAAGAAAGTGTTTGGGGATCCATGGTAGTTCAGTTTGGCTAGAGCATGGGGTGTCTGTGGGGGCGAATATGAGGTAGTATCAGAAAGACAGGTTGGAACCTGATCAAGGGGGCCTTTATACTGAGCTAAGTATTCTGCACTTCTGTTTGTATTTCCCAGCGTGGAAAATATTGTAGTTCAGTTCCTTATTCAAGCCCCTTTAATTCCCTGAAATGTCTTGAATTTCTACATTTAAGGCAGGAGTCTTAATTTCTCCAGGGTGTGTGTTTCTGTTACTAAATTTTACTTTACTGCTGTCCTTAAAAAAAAGAAAAGGCAAGGTTTTTTTGAGAAGAATGAGGAAGGCCACATAGGAAATGTGCCTCTGAACCCAAGTTGGCTTAATGAAGGAATTCAGTCTTCATTCAGAGTCTGTCAGAAAAATTAATAAGCTAGCGAGACTTCTGTAATTAGCATCAGACTAATTACAACCCTCTTCATACCTAGAGGGCTTCCCTTCCCCTGGGGCCTGCCTGGCCTTCTCCTTCCGGGTATGTAGGACGGTTCTCAATTTCTGCTTCACATCCCAGACCTGCTCCTCCTGGGCCTTTCCTTAGTGCTGGGGTTTAAGTCTGTCTGTCTTTCTCGCTCTCTCTTTATTTAATTGAAAAGACACTCATTAAACAAAACCACAAAGGCAATTTAGACATGGTAATAATAATGATGATGATAATAATAATAATAATAATAATAATAATAATAATACCATCTCTAATCTTAACCACCCTCACAACTGCATTCCTTTTTTCATATACACATGTACCTCCTTTACAAATTTGTAGTGATAGCATTGATGATGTTTTGTATTCAGTCTTCATTTATTTGATCACAAATGCTTTGCTTTATTTCTTCTCTAAGGTCATTTCAAATGAGCCATATAACATATGAGTCAAAGGTTCTGGGATTTTCCAAACCGTTCTTTGAATGTTGGACATTTATCTCATTTCTCTTTTTTGTCACTATGGTGGACTCTGCAGTGAATATCCTTTTGAACTGTTTCTTTAAGATACAGTCTTGGGGATGAAATTGCAGGGGCAAAGGCCATGAACATCTTTATGACTTTGGCTGTATTTCTCTAGATTCTGTTTGAAAGGAGTTGACTCCCCCAGCAGCGAATGAGGGAATGCACTATTTTAGCTCATATTGTCTGCTTAGCCAGGGAAGGTGCTGAGAGCTTGGTACCGAGTGCTTTAGACCCTTTGCTCTTCTTTGTCTTTCTCAGAACATTTAAGACTTTGTGGTTCGGTAGAATAGCAGAGGCCCAGAGGCTTCATGGATTTTTCAGTCTCTGGTTTCATTGGCAGGATGAGGACCATAATGCCTACCGCATTATGTAGTCAATGAGGACTACACATCGGGTTCTTGGCATGCGGCAGGCACTCAGGAACTGTTGGGCCCTTTCTCGTCTTTGCCTTTTAACACCATGTGGTGACCATCATGTGTATAGTACTGTGACAGATATGGCCAGTGCACACATATAGCCTAAGAGGCTGACATTGAGGTGACTTGTTTAGCTTCTTGGTGGGGCTATCTGAGGAGTTGGCTTGAGCCCTGAGCCTTGGGGCAGCTTCATATTAGTGTTCCCTCCATCTCTGCTCCAATCTCTGGGGTGCTGGTGTGTGTGCTTGCCAGTCTCCCTGCAGGTTCAGACCTCAGGCTGTCTCCTTTTGGTAAATTTGGTCTGGGAGTTACCCCGCTGTCGATGTTCAGGTCTGACCTGTCAGGCATCTATTTTCCTGAGGCCCAGAGCCAGGCCAGTGGGCAGCTCTAAGCTGCTAGGAGTGGATTCGCCTTGGAAAAGATAAAAAGCCCTACTAAACTAGGTGTTGCCCTGGGAGGGGCTTGGCCAGGGGGGTCCAGGGACACCTGGGGAGCAGGAACAGCCTTCAACTAAGCTAATGATTCCTGACCTTCAAGGAATTGAGTGTGGCCCATGGCTGACCAGTTGCCTTCTTATATGTCCAAGGGATAAGCAGAGTGAGGAACAAGATGTCTGGGATCCAGAGTGACAGCCACACAGAAGGGAGAAGCACAGGTGGTATAACCATCCCCTTTTGTGAACAAAAGAAAGCAAATAAACACACCGTGACTTGGCGGTATATCATACTAAAAACTTGACGTGTGTTATTTCATCTTCACAATAAAACTGGGTGCAAGTGTTATAATCACTGCTTTTATGAGTAAGGAGACTCAGGCTCAGGATGGGTGAGTCACTGGCCCCAGATCACACAGTAGGCAAACAGTGGGGCTGGGACTTGAACTTGAAGTATTTGAAGCTCACATACTTTTCCTTATAGATGAAGTAAAGTTGCATCTGTCCTTTTGCATATGTATCCTCACTTGGATAAAAGTTCTGGGAGTTTGGGCTGCAGAGTCTCTGATCTCCTGAGAGTCTCAATTCTTTCTTCTGAGCCATGTCTCATTACCAGCCTGAGAAAGACTTTGAGACTGTAGCCCTGGCAGGCCTTTCTTTAATATTCTTACTGCTGTGAAGACCGTGTGTTTCATGTTCTATCAGCTTGGCCTTAGATACTCGGCCCCTCTAGCCACTCTTGGGAAATTCCAGGGGTAGCAGAGTAATGGGGATTAATCCCCCCATGTACATATCTGGACAGAGTGTGTGTGAACCACAACTTCCCTGGCCCCAGGTGAGGATGCCACTTGCATAATTCCCCTGGAACCTTGGCTCTAAACTCTGCCCAAAGGTGGAAGCATGCATTTCACAGTGGGGCAGAAGTGCTTGTGCTCACTTAGTGGGTATGTTGGGGCTCCCCAGGATTCTGGAGCAGCTAGGGCGGGGCACCCAGTATGTGCATGGGACCATCAGAAGACCAGCTCGACCGAAGGCAAACAGCTTCTGAGGGGATGAGGATTGGGAGTGGAGACCTGGCTTCTAGCTTTGCTTCTGCCTGGATTGAGTGAATTTGGGCAAGCCCCTTTTCCTCCTGTACCCTTAGTTCCCCCAGATGTAGGTGGGGGATGTTAGACCAGGTGTTTCTTGATGTTTCTTACAGGTCTAAGAGACCCTTCCATATCTGATTCTTATTTTATGGAAATGATCACTACCTAAAGTTATAATGATTCCTGGCCCTGGAGTCCCTCAGGGTCATAGTCAGGATCACTTGACCCCTAGCTGCTGGCTCAACTATGGTAGACCTGGGCATTTTAACTAATCCAGAGGTTCCAGGCTTCAGTACCACTTGAGCCTTGCTCTGCCTCTTTGCCTTGGCTCTGTTCTCTGCCCTTGTTCCTTGTCCCCAAGGGCCTTCTGTTCCAGTTTAGGTCATTGGGATTTAGTGTGATGCTGCTGCCTGGTCCCCCCAGGACTTGCAGTTCAGCTTTGATTGCTGTCCCGGTGGCTGTGACCTTATTGTCAGGGGCAGGCTGACCTCCGTGACAGTACTTCCTGGGTTCCCCACCTGCCGCCCCTTCTGTGGGCTCTGTGTGTGCTCTTCCACCTTTCCTGCTTTCCTGAGTTTACCTCCTCCTTGGCTTTGGGATCTTGCCTATTCCGTAGTCAACCCAGTAAATATTGGTTGACACCTGACACGTGCCTTATTGACCACACAGTGGGGGTGGAGTGTGTGTGTGGATACAAAGGTAAAGAATTCATGTCTGGTCCTCAAAGAATTCCAGGTTTGTAGATAAATCCTTACTGGACAGAGTGAACGTGCTACGAGAGGTGTGTATGAAAGGCCAAGGGAACAGGGAAGATAGAGTGATTTATGCTGAAGACACCCATGCATGAACAGAAATGTTTGAACTGGGTTCTTAAAAACGAGGAGGAGTGTGGCAAAGGGAGAAGGACATTCCAGCAGAGGGGACAACATGAACGGAAGCTGTGAGTCTAGATCTGCTCTAGCTCCTGGGCCGCTCAGGATGCCTGCCCGTTCCAGGGGGCCAGCCTCGTTTTGCCGTCTCGCTGCCTGTCCGGCCTGTCCCGTCCCTGCCATCCATCCTTCTGATAGGATTACTGTCTGAAGGAAAATAACTTCCATGTCCCTTATCTCATTTGTGCCCAGCATGATGCTGTGAAATAGGCCAGACTGGGAATGATTATCCTCCTTTTACAGTTGAGGAAACTGAGGCCCAGAGAGGCTAGCTAGGAATTAGGAGAAGGCCCAAGACAAACAGGCTGATTCCCAGGGTTTCTGAGGGCCTTGCTCTGGGCTCCCTCTGCAGCCATGGGCCTGAGTCATGTTCCTGGTTTAAAGTCTTCCCACGTTTGGTTGAGGAGCGCCGAATCCCAGTCAGGGAGCTCAGTGCACATATGCACGCGTGTGCACACACACACACAAACATGCAGCCCTTGGAGCAGGAGCAGGAAACGTGGAATAAACAAGAGTTGAACAAAGGATTGGGTACTTGTTAAGCCCCAAAGCCATCAACCCTGACTTTGCTGCAGGACTGAAAGTGTTTGTTAGAGGACCTACCTGTGCACTGGGTCTGGGTGAGATCTGTCAGAATGAGTGGGAAAGAAGCTATTTTTAGTCTGCAGAGTCACTCACTCGGCTGTGCTAGCTGAGGTTTGAGCCA